AATGATAGTGGTAATTAGTGACAACTGATAGAATACAACTGCAACAGGCTAGACTAACTAACTAACTAGCTAACTATCAACTAACTTTCATTGACAGAAAACATTTACATTTTGTGAAGGCCGTCGTCACTTGTGGTGTATGGTCTGCACCTAACGCTCTTCTCGTTCTTTGAAAAGGAGTACACATTTTGCGCTTTCCCTATCCAAAAAATCGACGTACCTTCCGACTAGCATTGCACAAGAGCTCTTTAGCTTCTACAAAAATGTGCTAAGGATTTCCAATAAGAAACTAGGAGAAAGCCTACTCAACGGGTTGAAAACACTCCAAATCAATATTGAAGACTAGTTCAGTGAGGATATTTTGCCATCTACAATTCTTCTGTTACTTCCACTTCTACTTTTATTTACATGTTTATGACAAAAAAAGGAAACAACCAATATGTTACTGCAAATTCCGCAAGGCTGAAAAAACTTATGCTAAACTCAAACACATCTGATCTTTCTGCGAACCACGCCAGGCGTGACATCCTGTCCCGTGCGACCTCTCAAGTGCGGAGAGAGTGACGCGCTTGCGCGCTTTTTTTGAAGCTGATTTTCTGTTTTTTATCGGATGTGCCACGAGTGACCCCCCATAATTGTGTTTGACAGAAGGGGATCGATATCATGAACACTGCATTGGGATCGAAATAACAAAAAAGTTGAACTCACTTGTAAAATAACATTGCCTAAATAGAGCATCTTAATAAACACATACAAACACGTGACGTAGTTGCCCCATCGTTTGGAGACACATAACCCTGAGACATCAGTTACCTAAACAGAACTCTTGTACCCTTTAATTAAAGAAACATGGCTCCTCTTTAGGGAGTTAAATTTTAAACTATGAACTTCTCGTTGGATTTCTAGCGCGTCCTCCATGTGCCCAGCTATAGTTTGCACCGTGGCGGCTCTGGCGTCGGCGTCCATCATACGAGCATCACATGCCATTTGTGTCAACGATTGCACGTTGATTCCTGAAAATATCTGGTTAGACTTTGATTGGGTTTCCAAGCATTTGAAAAGCCTTTTGAAGGAGGGGGGGGGGGTGTAGCTGCCTTAATCAGTGGACGCTATGTAAGCCATGTGGTGATCCCGGCGGATCCATCAACATCCACAGATTCGCGAGCAGGGATTAGGCTAAGTACAAAGCGTGTAGGCAGGGTCAACCGCCACGAGAGGGTCGTATTTGGCCACTGAA